TACTAATACATGGGAGTATCTGGTATTGATAGTCGTATAGTATATAAACATAGTTGTATATTGTAAAACACTAGCATCTCTATGATCTGCAGAAGATGTAACAAGTTGTGAACCTAGGCTTTAGTCATAAATATACTAACTAGGAGATATAGAGTTAGGTAGTGAAACTAGCTAGACACCAAACAAGAAGTTATCTGTGAGAATTAATAATGCTCTATGTAGCCTATGGTACCTGTTTGGTAGTATTTCTTTATAAGTATGAGTGATACAGGAAATATAATAATGGTATTCTAATAATAATAGTCATAGCATAAACTCTAATCAGAAAACTATAATAGGGTAGTATAAATTAGGTCAAGAATATTTCGTATATAAATTAGTCCTAAGGTTTATATATAGATTTGAATATTGTAGTCAGATATCTTTATTAACTATAGTTAAAATATTATTCAATTTGATTTAGTAGTTATTAAGAAAATTATAACTAAAACTATATATAAATTTAATATATATATTTAAAAAATTCAAAAATTACAAATTTTTATAAAAATTTGGTTATAATTTTCTTAATAACTATTTATTCAAATTAGATAAAATTTTAACTATAGATAATAATAATATCTAATAACCATATATTAAAATTTTAACTAATTTGAATTAATAGTTTTTAAGAAATTATTTAAATATTATAAAAATAAAAATATTTATTAATAATATTTTATATATATTTAAATTTATTAATTTATATTATTTTAAAGATACATATCAAGAAAAAAAACTTTATTTGTATGTATTACACAAAATTTTCTAAAATTTTAGCTTTTGGTAAATATTGTTGGTTTTGAAAATTTCTATATAATCTATTTTTTAATTGCTCAAACAAATTAAGATTATTTAATTCAGTAAAATATTTAAAAGAAATTTTATAAAATTTTAAATAATCTCGATTATCCCAACCTTGACCTTGATATTTTATCCTTGTATAATTAAAATATATATTAAATCTAGTTTCTTTTGTATTATTTTGATTACATTTACTTAATATTTTAATCTCATACTGGTTTATATCATTTTTTTTCCAATATGTTTTTTTTATAGAATCTATAGTTATTTCTAAAAACTGATTATTATCAGTTATATATTTTTTAGAAATTGAATTAATACAATCTATAATAAATTAAGCCCAAATTAATTCAACTAGTTCATGCATTTCATCTTCATGATTAGATGTTGTTATAATATAGTTAATTAATCTTTTAATTCTTCTATTATCATCAGAATTAATTTTAATTTCATCATTAAAATTTGTTAATTGTTGATTTTGTTGAGAAGTAATTCTAGCTGTATAATTATCTATATTAAAAATTTCAGATAATAACTATACTGTATTTAATTGTTTTATTATATTATATATTTCTAAAGTTCTAATATTATTTGAATTATCTAAATTTGAATTACCAAAATATTTTTTAGTATTAGATAATGCTTCAAAGCTTTGATTAATTATTTTTATTAAAATAACTAAACAAATTCTAAATGATTCATTATTAAAATTAGCAGATTGTAATAAATGGCTAAAAGAAAGATTATAAATATTTAAAAAAGTTTTTAGTTTAGCAATTTTAACCTTTGATATAAGATGAGTAGAAATAATATAAAAAGGGTTTATAGTTAAATAATTATGTAATTTATCTTGTACAATATTATAAAATTGGTTTGTAATATCAAAACCAATTCTATATTCTAATCTTGCACCAAAATGAGTATTAATAATTTTATTTAATATGATAATTGAGTTTTTACAAGTCTTATTAATTTTTGAAGAATTATATATTGCATCATTTTCATTTAATTCTTCTAAAAGTATAGATTTCGAAGCTGAAAAAGCTTCTTTTTCTATATGATAAGCTTGTGTATAATATATTTTATTCTGAATACCAGGTTCTTTAGCTTCACTAGCAGCTCCAGCAATATCATAAGTATGAAGCTAATTATCTATTCTTGATCTTGATATATTTGTAGTAAAAGTAGTTCTAATTGAATTTAAAAGATTAGTTGCAATATTTCTTGACCAATAAATAGTACTAGAAGTAGATAAATCAGTTAAAATAAATTCTATACCTAAGTCTATTTTAGCATCATTTTTCTAATTAGTTTTTGTTAAAGAAAAATGGGAAGTAAAAAAATTTAATTGTTGTCCAAATTCTGAATAAATATAAGGGTTGAATTTTGTATAAAGTTTTAAATTTTTAGCATAAATATGAAAAAAGAAATTATCAAATCTAGCTAAATTAATATTAAAATTAATTATAGATCTTATTGTATATGTAAGATTATTTAAAATATTAGAGAAAATACCATAAGGATGATGAAAATAATAACTACTAATTTTTTTTGATTTAATTTTATATGCTTTAAAAGTAGTAGGATAATGATGTATAATATCTATTGTATATTGTGTTTGGTTTTTTAATGAAGGAAAAAAAATTT